CTGTCAGAAAGAGATCGACCAGTTTCTCCAAAGTATTGAAGAGGACAGGAGGAGCAAGAAATAGAGTAGACACCAGGAACATCTGTAGAGGGAGGAGAGGTATGAACGAGATTAGTGCGAAGAGTGTTAGTCTGGCGGAAGGTAAGCTTGATGTCTAAGGGACGGAGAGAATTGTTGAGATTAGAAAGACCGGAAATGTAGGGAAGGCAGAGGATAGAAGAGTTCCCATGAGTAGAGAGTTTGGGAGAGAAGAAATTGCGTTTAGCACGTGAGAGGGCAGAGTCTATGAAATGGGAAGGGTAGCCAAGACGGGAGAACGAATTATAAAGAGTGGAAATTTCTGCTGGAAGGAACTGAGGATCACAGATGCGGAGGGCACGGAGAAAGAGGGAGATAAGAACACTTTTCTTGACAGGGGAAGCATGATAGGAAAAGTAGTGAATGTACATGCCACTACTTTTCCTATCATGCTTCCCCTGTCAAGAAAAGTGTTCTTATCTCCCTCTTTCTCCGTGCCCTCCGCATCTGTGATCCTCAGTTCCTTCCAGCAGAAATTTCCACTCTTTATAATTCGTTCTCCCGTCTTGGCTACCCTTCCCATTTCATAGACTCTGCCCTCTCACGTGCTAAACGCAATTTCTTCTCTCCCAAACTCTCTACTCATGGGAACTCTTCTATCCTCTGCCTTCCCTACATTTCCGGTCTTTCTAATCTCAACAATTCTCTCCGTCCCTTAGACATCAAGCTTACCTTCCGCCAGACTAACACTCTTCGCACTAATCTCGTTCATACCTCTCCTCCCTCTACAGATGTTCCTGGTGTCTACTCTATTTCTTGCTCCTCTGTCCTCTTCAATACTTTGGAGAAACTGGTCGATCTCTTTCTGACAGACTTAGGGAGCACAAAATAGTGTTAGGCTTGCCGACACTAACAATGCTCTTTTCTGTCACGTCAGAGATCATTAGCCATCCTATTGACTGGTCTTCTGCTAAAATGTCTTCCCTACTTCCAACTCGAACAGTCGCGTTTAGTTGAATCCTCTTATACACAACTTTCTTGTATGAACTTAGCCCTGGCTTCGTCTCTGTAGATGCCTTCCTCTCCCACTACATTGTAAAATGCTCCAAACTTCAGAAACCCGTGACTTAACCGAATCCTCATTTTTTCTTCTTCTTCTTCTTTTTCTTCTTCCTCTTCCCCTTTCCTCTCTCCTTTCTCCTCTGGGTTGTCTTTCTCTCTCCTGTCTCTGTTCCTTCTTTATTTTATTTCACCACTTCCCCTTTCACGCACCTCGGTGCGCTTGACCTCCCTTGTGGGTTTCTAGCTCTCTTGCAGTGCTCCCCTTCCTTTGTATTTGAACTGGCTACGTTCTTCCTTATTTCCCACTTCTTACCACTACCAGTACTACTTCCTCTTCTTCTTCTACTACATCTACTGATGAAATTAGACACATGTGCGGCGTCTGGTTGTCTTTGTTGTGGACGTTTCGCAATCCGTGGCTGGCTGGATGGCGAAACGTCTTACGGGTGGGAATGCCGGGTGTTGTGCATGTGTCATTTCATCCTGTCGGTATTATATACAATTCTTGTACTACTACCACCACTACTACTACCACTACTACTACCTCCACCTCTTCCTGCCTATATATAGCCGTCCTGCTCCTCCTCTGTTAGTGTGACTTTGTCAATGGTCCAAGTCAGACCGAAACGTCGTCGTAAGCTTCTGTCTTTTATGTGCGGGTTATTAGAGTTGGATGGTGGAGAGGAAAGGCGGTCCCATTATTTTGTGCCATAGCGGCACGGTTACCACTGGGAGGTGGCAGCCTAATCCTGAGCCTTCTCAGGGTGGGGGTGTGGCATGCAAAGAGTATGTAACCTTTATTCTGCGCATGTACACACCCTCATTTACAGGCTATCTCCCCCAACCAGCGAACCAGGTTGCTAAGAGTTGATGATGGGGCCCCGTCGTTCATCTAGTGACTAGGTTCTAGCCAATAAGAAGATGGTTTTGGCAATTGCAGAGGTTATGTGGGTACCACTCTCCTGTCTGCCCTTGTCATTCCCATTCTAGAGCTGGTTGAAGCATGGTCTGCTATCTTGTGGCTTCTATTTCTGCCTTGCTTACCGTGGAGTGCACTATACTTATCACTGTACATAGTGTACATATTGCTGTTCTAAATTGGTGAAGGATAATTTAAGTCTAAACTTTTTCTGCTGTGTTTATTTTGCTCCCATTACACCCGGGATAACAGGCCATCTGGAATCCTGGGTTGTAATATATGCTAACAAAAAAAGAGATTGCAAACCCTCGAAGAAGTGGAGAGGTTATTGTTGTAGATTACCCAAAAACAGTTAGCAGGGGTAGTATTTTGCAGTCGATAATACGTGAAAAGGCAAGGCAGTTGCATGACGACCTCGTAAAGAAAATGCCTGAAATGAGTGCTGATGTTTGTGATTTTAAGGCCAGTAAAGGCTGGTTTCACAGATTTAAGAAGCGTAGTGGCATATACAGTGTGGCAAGGCACGGTGAGGCTGCCAGTTCAGACAAAAGGGCAGCTGAGAAGTCTGTACAGGAGTTTAAGGAGTATGTATACATGCTGAAAAATTCAAACCCCAACAAGTGTTCAATTGTGATGAAACAGGCCTGTTTTGGAAGAAAATGCCAAAGACGACCTAGATCACGCAGGAGGAAACGGCATTCCCAGAACACAAGCCTATGAAAGACAGGCTAACTCTCATGTTTTGTAGTAATGCTAGTAGGGATTGCAAAGTGAAGACCTGACTGGTCTATCACTCTGAAAATCCCAGTGTGTTCAACAAAAACAGCTTTGCCAAGAGTAAATTGTGTGCGATGTGGAAGGCTAACAGTAAGACATGGGTCACAAGGGAAATTTTCCTTGATTGGTTTAATGAAGTGTTTGGCCCCAGTGTGAAGAAATACCTCCTGGAAAATAAATTGGAACTCGAGTGCCTCCTGGTAATGGACAATGCTCCTGCTCATCCTCCAGACTTGGAAGAGAAAATGGTGGAGGAGTTTCATTTTATCACAGTGAAGTTCTTGCCCCCTAATATAACTCCTCTCCTCCAGCCCATGGACCAGCAGGTTATTTCAAACTTCAAAAAACTGTACACTAAAGCAGTGTTTCAAAAGTGCTTTGAAGTGACCTCAGACACTGAATTGACCCTAAGAGAGTTCTGGAAAGATCATTTCAGTATCCTCCATTGCATAAGCCTTATAGGTAAGGTTTGGGAGGGAGTGACTTGCGGGACTTTGAACTCTGCTTGGAGAAAACTGTGGCCAGAATGTGTACAAGAGAGGGATTTTGAAGGGTTTGGGGCTAACCCTGAGGAGCCTATACCAGTTGTGGAGTCTATAGTGACATGGGGGAAGTCCATGGTGTTGGAGGTTAGTGGCGAGGATGTGGAAAAGTTGGTGGAGGATAACAATGAAGAGCTAATCAATGATGAGCTGCAAGACCATCTGCAACAGCAACAGATCACAGCTGAGGAAACTGCTTCAGAGGAGGAGGAAGAGAGATGGAGGAAGTTGCCTTCTTCAACGATTCAGGACATTTGTACAATGTGGACAAAGGTGCAAGCCTTTATGACACAGCTGTTGTAAGCTGTGCTGGTGACTTTTACAATGACAATGTTATGTCCCATTTTAGGGAAATCTTAAAGACACGTCAGAAACAGAGCTCTATGGACAGATTTTTTGGTGTGAGATGAGTCCAGTGACTCAAGCTGGTCTTAGTGGCATTAAAAAACAAAATTAGGGAGGTAACCCCGGAAAAGGACTTGCTACCTAAAGTCCTTATGGAAGGGGAATCCCCTTCCAAACAATAATACACCTTCAACCTCTCCCCTCCTCCCATCTCATCACTCATCAATAAGTCTTCAATAAAGGTAAGTGTCATTTTTTGAATTATTAATGTACATTATAAATATTTATTCGGCATGTCTCATTGTTTTCTGTGTAGGAAAATGTGTATTTCATGTGAAAAATTTTGTTTTTTTTAATACTTTTGGATGTCTGGAATGGATTAACTGGATTTCCATTATTTATGGGGAAAATTAATTTGGATAGCGATAAAATCGGTTAAGGACAAGCTCTCTGGAACAGATTAATATCATTAACTGAGGATCCATTGTATACACACGACCCTCTAGGTTTTCTTCCGTTTCCTTACTAGTTTTCTTGTTTATTTCCTCTCATCTCCATGGGAATGTGTAATAGAATTCTTTCTCCATGAGCCATGCGTGTTGTAAGAGGCGACCAAAATGCCAGGAGCAAGGGGCCAGTAATCCTTTCTCCTGTATATATTACTAAATTTAAAAGCAGAAAATTTTTCTTTTTCTTTTGGGCCATCCTGCCTCAGTGGGATATGGCCGGTTTGTTGAAAGAAAAAGAAATAACTACTGTCACTGAATAAGTAAACAACTAACTAAATACTATTAATTTAAAGTAAATGAATGAATACAAGTTACAGACTTTCTGCCTTCATGCTGAGTAATTCTCTTAAGTTTCATCTCCAAAGTAATTGCTTTTGCACCACCGTAAAGTTGAACTGTCCTAAGTTGTGGAGCACCTGTACATTATATTACACAGTAAAGCCTCAATTTAAAAGACCTATATTTAATAATCAAATCTGGACAACAAAGTCTGTTATTTCCAGAACTGTCCTTTATTGAAACATTGTACAAAATGAACCGTTTCCAGAATTGTCTACTATTATGATCGTGGAAAAACAACTATTCAGATGTAATGGACAATAGGCATTACAAGAGGGTGTCCCGTAATGAACTTTTACTGTACTTGAAAAGAATAAAAAAAGGCACAATACCACGACTGGAACAATACAAATAACCGGCACATATGAGAATGAAAATTACTACGATGTTTCGGTCTAACTTGGACCATTAACTAGTCTCCTTGTGTGGGTTATTTATGTAATGTAATTGAAGTTTCATTGTATGTCCTATTTTTGTTCTTGCACTAACCTTTATTCCTTTTTGTGGTGCAGACCGTGATTCTCTCAACGCATACACACCTCCCCCTACTGACACTTCTCTCCATATACCAGGTTTTGCTTCTCCTCCACAGAACTGACTCGGAGGATGCATAATTAAGACTCCATTTGTCGTTAAGCCATCAATTTCCCCGTTGTTTTGCCACTTTGTTGCTTTTTCCTGTAACAATAAGAATTCTTTAACACACCTCAGACACTTATCATGCCATGCAAACTAGTTTGAGAGAAAATGTACACGAATTCATTTGCTTTGGACACCTTTATTGATAACGTTTTTGTCCTTAGATCTTGACAACTTCACATACAGCCTGTCCTCACTTAGCAAAGTACTCATTTACCAACGACTCGGACTTACGACGGGTTCTCTGACCAGTATGCATACTTAAATAATGTATATTAGAGCTGATTTCCTCTATTCAGTTAATTACAATATGCACTACACTACTGAATAAACATTTAAAAATATACCAGAAATGTTATAAATAGTGCAAAGGTGACATTAAATTTATATGAAAGATGGCTGACACAAACCTACTACCATTATACAGTAGTATGCTCCTCACTTAGCAATGAATTCGTTTACCGGCGTGGTCTTAGGAACACAACTCCAACGTTAAGTGAGGAGAGGCTGTATTTGAAATGATCACGATCCAAGAACAAATAAACATTTACCATAAAGGTACCCTGAGTGACTGCATTTGTGTACACTTCCCCGCAAGTTGTCGGCAGAATGTATTTAACTGAACAGTTGGAGAGACAAGTTGCAGAATAAATTATTAAGATAATACTAAAATAATGCAATTGATCTAAAATAGGAGTTAAAGTGGGCAAAATTGTCGATGTGTAAATATCGCTGACACACTAAAATTTGTGATAGTGTAATTTCGTCAATTTTCTATCAAATTTTGTACTTCTTGTTTTATTACCTTCAGAAAAAGATTCTCTACCATTTCATAAGAAAAAATAACCAAAAATTTTTTTGGAAAATTCTTGGACAATGAAGACAAGGCGTAGAACTACGGCATGGACCCTCAAAGGGTTAACGTACTGGGAAACAATTTCCCAACACATGTTGAGAAATAATTTGAACGTGTTGATAACTTGTACATCATTATTTTTAAAACTACTGTGAAAGTTGGTATGTCTTGTTATCAACAATATTCGTCTGACTTTTTTGGGGATGATATTTTTATAAAATTACAACATATGCTGGCAAACATGGCACGTTTCTTGCAAATGTTATACAAGAAAAATGTTCTGAGTTTGTTTATTTAAAACATTATAAAATACTTACCCCAAGAAAAATATTTCTGGAGGAGTCGAAGCCAGCAGCATAAACCTGAGTGGTGCGGGTAGTTCTGTGAGCAATTATTCGACATGCAAATCTACTTATTGTACTCTGCGTCACCTGAAAAAACACAAACACAATATTAATACTAGAAAAAAATATCTACCTGTTCATCTCACACAATTTGAACACCCCTTTCTTTGTGAACCCCTCCAGTGCTACCTTCAAGAGTAGGCCACCACACTTTCTGATGTCAAGGAAGCTTTTCATAACAGCATAAAAATAGAATTTAGCCTCCTCAGTAAATTTATACACTCGTTGGAACAGAAGAATATTACTCTGCAAGAGTCAACAAATGGTAACAAAACCTCCGAGAGTAGAAACAAGATCGAATCTGATCAAGTACCATCAGAACTTCAACTTTTCCAGAGTAACTGCAATGTGTATACTGGAGAGCCCCACTTATAGAGCAGGTTAGGTTCTAGGCTACCACTGTGAAGTGAATCATAACTTTTTTTCTCACTTTCAAATGCATATAAAATTCTGATAACATGTTTACACTATCATATACTAAGTGAGCAATAGAGCCAGGCCTAAAAAATGCATATACAATCCATACATTACTTCTTTCTTCTTTCAACAAACCAGCCCTATCCCACCGAGGCAGGGCGGCCCAAAAAAGAAAAACGAAAGCTTCTCCTTTTAAACTTAGTAATATACGTATACAGGAGAAGGGGTTACTAGCCCCTTGCTTCCTGCATTTTAGTCACCTCTTATGACACACATGGCTTACAGAAGATTAATTCTGTTCCACTTCCCCATGGAGATAACTGGAAATCAACAAGAACAAGAACTAGTAAGAAAATAAAAGAAAACCCAGAGGGGTGTGTATATACATATGCTTGTACATGCATGTGTAGTGTGACCTAAGTGTAAGTAGCAGGAGCAAGACATACCTGAAATCTTGCACATTTATGAGACAGAAAAAAGACACCAGCAATCATACCATCATGTAAAACAATTACAGGCTTCCATTTCACACTCACTTGGCAGGACAGTAGTACACGTACCTCCCTGGGTGGTTGCTGTCTACTAACTTACTACCTAGGATACATTACTTACCTTAAAATATTATCGTCCTTAGCTTATAGTGAGTAAATATATTTATTGTAGGAAGTGTGAATAAATGATCAATGAGTATAATTAAAAACTACTGCATTAGTGAAATGAAGTAAAGCACTGTAAAGCAGGGCCCTCCTATACCTGTAGCAGTCCTACAGCCTTTCATGCCTAAATTACCTACACCTCAAATCACTGGCACATGCCATACTACAGACAGTCTTGCCAATAAAAGTATACAGTAACTGGGCATACATACTGTCTAGAAAATGGACAGAACTGAAATAATACCTTCTGCAGTAGTACTCATTATTATCACTGTATTCATGGGAGGGAGGTGCTAATACCATAGGGAGCACACATGCCTGGGAGGCAATCAGCTTTGAGACAATAAAGGAGGGGTCAGGTCCAATTCCCTGAATCAAGAGCCCCCATTGGCATCAAGGAACCTCCCAATGGACAGAACTTCACAGACCCATGATTCATAACACTCCAACAATTCCCCTCCCCCTCTATCCTCCCTTCTCTCTCCAGAACCAGAGCCTCTCTGGCATTGGATCAGGTTGGGCAGCCATTCAGCAATGTTTGCCAAAAGGTAGTGCATATTTCAAGGGCCCTCTTGTTAGATTTTGGACCACTGCAATCTACTGAAAATCCAGAAAACTTTGATGCATCCCTATGAGAATGGTTAAGATGCATGACAAAAAATCTTGCTCTAACAGTCCTGTTGCCACCTACAAAATGTGTATTTGGCCCAATGATTAACTTTCCACCACTTCATCCTGATACAATTCAGACAGCAATTCATTCAGTAAGAAGTACTGTATATTAAAATCCTAGGTATGTCATCAAAAAATCCAACAGTTGTACCAAGACTGGGTGGTTTGCACACCTTAATGTTTTTCTTAGCATGCACTAAATGATCAGAGTTGGAAGAAGGACTTGGAGCATGTGCAGCTTACAGTGACATCCAAGGCATGCAAGTGGTACATTTTACAGAAGGGGCTCAAGATGAAGACAAATCCCTTGATAATTTTGGGGTTGTCTGCCTCCTGAAACCCACATTCATAGCTCACCAGTTTGTTATGTAGAAAAGGAAGATTGGATTTTTTAGCAGCACTGTTCTGAACAGATTATTTCCTATTTCTTTGCAGCACATCACTGGCACTATGTTAGATACCTGGAGTATACCTGGTGGTATACAATACGACAAATGTCATGACAGCCAAGAAGATGATAGCATGGGTAATGAGAACCTTCAAAACAAGGAAAAAATGCCAATGGTGATGCTTTTCAAATTGTTTGTGCTCCCTCATTTGGAATATTACTCGGTGTTGATGACCACATTCAGGGCAGGAGAAATATCAGAGCTAGAGCAGATAGAGATCATTGACAGCCCACATAGAGCCAGTAAAGCATTTAAATTTCTGGAAATGCCTTAACCCTTTGACTGTTTACGCCGTATAAATACGTCTTATGCGCCACTGTTTCTGACGTATTTATACGCATAAATTCTAGCGGCTTCAAATCAAGCGGGAAAGGCCTGGTAGGCTTACATGAGAGAGAATGGGTCTCAGTGGTGGGTGTGCACCCTGTGAAAAAAATCTGGGACTCAGCGGTGCATTGTGGGAACGCCATCTTGGTAGTCCATTTTCACCATGCCTCGCAGTAAGAAGTTCCTCACTCCTCGGCGGATTGGAGGTCTTTTGTTCCCAAGTGATAGCTCTAACAGCGATGAAAATGTCAGTGACAGTGAATTCCAGGGTTTTGAAGCGAGTGTGACCGAAAAAAGTGCCCAGGATAACGTAATTAGTGATGAAAACCCAGATGACCCACAACCTTCCACCTTCGGTGCTGGGTCGACTTGTTCACGTTCACGTTCACGTTCACGTTCACCTGTACCGGGACAAAAGAGGAAACTATTTGGTCATGTACAACACCAGATGTTAGCAGTGAATGTGATAGTGATAGTGATTTCAAGGTCACTGAAAGCAGTTCTAGTTGTGACAGTGAGGGTGAATATTCCCCAGTGAAGCGGCAGTATGTACGACGTAGCATGCGGTCTGGTAGTGTTTCGTATGCTGTTTCATGGGGAAGGAGAAACTCTGGGAGCACATCCCGTGGCCCTACACCATGACCTGATAGTGAAGATGATGATATTGTTACGATGGGTATGAATGATGTGAGTGAGGGAGCAGGCAGTGGTGGTGATAGTGATGGTGGCATGACCCATGTGGCACCAGCAGCGGGCCACGCTACTACCCACGCTGCTGACTCTGCACAACAACCAGCCTCACCCGACCCCACACTCCCACAACCACAACCTGCACAACCACAACCATGGTACAATATCCAGAACCCACCAGCAGACCGCATCTGGGATTGGCAGGAAGGTGACGAGTTTGTTCCCAGCCCCCATGACTTCGATGAAACACAAAGTGGAATAAAGCCATCATGTCCACTTGGGAACAATGCCAGTGAACTAGAATGCTTCGAGTTATTCTTCGATGAACCCCTGATGGACATCATTGTCAGGGAAACCAACACATACTATGAATACACCATGGCAAATACAATTCTCTCACCAAAATCACGGCTACACCAGTGGAAGGAGACAACTGTGGCAGAGATGTACCTGTTTTTTGCCACAATAATGCTTATGCCATGTGTGTATAAGCACACTGTCACCACATACTGGGCAACAAAATGCCTGATTTCAACTCCAGGTTTTAGTGACATTATAGGTGTCAATCGTTTCCTGATACTGTTACACATGTTACACTTTTCAGACAAAACCAGGCCTGACAGAACCGACAGGTTATGTAAGATCAGAAATGTGTTTTCTTTCTTTCAACACACCGGCCGTATCCCACCGAGGCGGGGTGGCCCAAAAGGAAAAACGAAAGTTTCTCCTTTTACATTTAGTAATATATACAGGAGAAGAGGTTACTAGCCCCTTGCTCCCGGCATTTTAGTTGCCTCTTACAACACGCATGGCTTACGGAGGAAGAATTCTGTTCCACTTCCCCATGGAGATAAGAGGAAATAAACAAGAATAAGAACTAGAAAGAAAATAGAAGAAAACCCAGAGGGGTGTGTATATATGTGCTTGTACATGTATGTGTAGTGTGACCTAAGTGTAAGTAGAAGTAGCAAGACGTACCTGAAATCTTGCATGTTCATGAGACAGAAAAAAGGACACCAGCAATCCTACCATCATGTAAAACAATTACAGGCTTTCGTTTTACACTCACTTGGCAGGACGGTAGTACCTCCCTGGGCGGTTGCTGTCTACCAACCTACTACCTATAAGAAATGTGTTTATGTACATGAAACAAAAGTGCTGCATGTATTTTTATCCCTTCAGGAAGCTTGTTATTGACGAGTCCTTGATTTTATTCAAAGGAAGACTCTCATTCAAGCAATATATACCAAGCAAGAGGAAACACTTTGGTATAAAGTTATTTGTACTGTGTGATTGCAGAAGTGGTCTAGTTTTGGATATCATTGTGTACACTGGCACTAATACTTTGAGAGATACCATGAAGTTATTGGGTATCTCTGGTGATGTGGTTAGAACAATGATGGAACCATATCTTGGTAAGGGGCATATGTTATTTACTGATAACTGGTACACAAGCCCCTTACTCAGTGATTTCTTGTGAGTGAACTTGACAGACGTGTGGCACAGTGCGTGGTAATCGTAAACATATGCCAAGGTTCAACGCTGGCACTCGCAGAGGAGAGGTGCAAGCACAACACACACACCAATGAACCCATTCTAAAGCCTGCAGCTGTCATGGACTACAACCTCAATATGTGATTAGTGGACAAATGTGACATGCAGATTGGGTTTGCAGATTGTGTACGCAAGAGTTATAAGTGGTATATAAAACTTTTTTTCCATCTTGTTGATATCTCCATTCTAAATGCTTATAACATATACAAGTTGAAGACCAACAAAACACCAAAATATGGTGAATTTTGTTTGTCAGTAATCA